TCTTTGAATTCTTTAAAGAGGGCTTTTTCAAAAGATCTGCTTAATGCAATATTTCATTCTATTCATTACTGCTGTTTCCATTGGCATTAATTGTGGATATAAGTAATACCACATATTTGACTACTTCAATATTTTCTCCATCTGTTATGTTGTTCATCATCAAATTAGTTGTGATGATTTTGCTTTCTTTATATTGAGATGCAATCCATACTGCCGGCTATTGTCTTTTGTCTCCATCACTAAATGTTTTAAAACCTCCTTATTTTCAGCAAGCAAAGTCCTGTTTTCTGCATATTACATGTTGTTAATATATCTTCTTCCAAACTTGATGCTACATTCTTCTTCATACAGTTTAATTTCTTGGATAATTTGCTAAATATATATTGTGAATAACTGCAGTGAAAGGATATACACCATTACTGCTTTTAAGCTATACGGTTAGCATTTGTCAACTAGACAGACATAACTGAGTGAATTAGGGGTGGAGCCAACCTTATAAATCAGGTTTCAGTATAATGACCTCTCCTTGTTGGGGTGGGGGGGGGGAAGGCTTCTTTACAATTGAGAGACCCTGATTATAACAGAACTGTCTCTTGTTTCTTCAAATTCTGTTGGATCTAGATCATCTATCTCCTGTTATATCAGCTGTTGATATCAGGAACCATCAGCAGACTGCCAACCTTGAATCCTTTTGGTTGATCTTGGATTCATTTACCTCTGCATCCACCAACCCGTGCCCCCGCCCCACTTCCTCATTTTGCTTCCTGTATATCAGCTTCTTCAGTTACATGAGTCAGGAGAATCCTCCAGCTTACATATGACCCACAGACTGGAACCAGACTGGCCTTACCTGCTTCTATAACTAGGTAAGTTATTTCTTGATACAAATTTCTTTCTATAGGTATACACATATGTGTCACTGGTTTTGCTTCTCTAGAAAATCAAAGCTAATTCCCATGTTCTTTCAGAAAGATTGCTTGTAGGTCTGTTTACAGGTTCTGCATCAGCACCATTAAATGATCTGGAATTCCCATTCTTCATAGCATTATCGATAATTTGCTGTGATCCACACAGCCAAATGCATTCTTTGATTTCAGTCAAGACACAGGGTGGTTCAAAGAGTTCATGGAGAAATTCCATTGTCTTTTGATATCATTTTTGCACAAAATTTGTAAAGCCTTTAATATATTTAATTATCATAAATATATTTCACCCTGCACATCCTCTTCTGAATCTGCCTTGAATTTCTGGCATTTCCCTGTTGGAGTATTGTTGAAGCGGTTTTTGAATTATCAACTGTAGTCTCTTTAGAATTCCAGGTTTGAAGGAATTCTATTAAGCAGGCACTGCTAAAAATAATGACATTTATTAAAATGACACTAGAATGCTTTTACACAGAAGTTGGCTTTACTTTATCAAGGTGCCACACAATTGTCCCCAGAGGAAATTCTCTGAAGACCATAGAGGAATTCATTTATGACCTCTCTCTCTCTCTCTCTCTCTCTCTCTCTCAC